TAGTACTTTCCCAGCAATCATTTTTAACAAGATCTGTCAGTACGGAGTCCCATTGTGTTTCCCAGCAATAGTCTTTGAGTTGAAAAACAACTAAACATCCCTGCCAATTGCTTGAATCCTCGGTTATTCCATTCCAATCATACGATATTACAGTACCCCTTGAAGTTGTTACTCCAATGTGTAAATCATCCATTAATTGGTAATCACTATTAAAAAAAATTTTAAATAAATTATAACATAAGAGTGCATTTTAAGTTAAATGACTGACAATAATACCCATGGATACTCACTTTAAAAAATCACCACGGGTTGGTTTCACAATAATAGAACAGAATTGTTGAGATGCTCTTACAAAAGGATATGGGACTCTTTAACCAAATAAAAATAAACAAATAAACAAATTAAAAATAAATATAATTATTTAATGTTTTTCTGCTTAGACATTAATAATATCTAACCTAACCATATGCAAGTGTATAATATGCTTTATTTCATTACATTATTTTCTGTCTAAAATATATTTAAACATAGTATAATTTTTTAATAGGTGATTAAATTTTATATGTATTTGGTAACCAAATTTCCAAAAAAAATATTTATTTATAAACCGATTTAATGCAATTATACATTTTGAAATATTATTGAATATAGTTTATTACATAATTACTTTCAATGAAAACATTCTAGGGAAAAAACTATAATATATATTATATTTATCTTGAGGAATGTATTATTTTATTATAATGTGAACGGATCTATTATAACATTTGTTTAATTTTCAGAGGGGAAATGTTGGTTTTAATAATTAATATTACATTATATACACAATGTTTTTGTAGATAAACTAATTTTAATTCCCAAGTTAAATATATTACGCTATACTTGTACTCTAAAACAGGGTCACTCCAATCAATTTAAGAGTTGTTTTGGGCTATAACTTAGAGAATTTTTGGGTTACAAAAAAAAAATTGTATGTAATGTTTGTAATGTATATACCATTTAAATTTCTTGTGCAGTTCTCAATTTTAGATTCAGAGTTTAGTGAGGGATCTATTGGTTTTACTATGATGTTTTTTTATTTTGTGTCTGTGAACAACTTTTCTACATAAAAACTTCCTCCGAAGCATAAACTATAGCACCTTTTCTGAAAGGTAATTTTCTTTCGTTGATGATTTGGGTAGGTAGTTTTCAATAGTTTTTGTAATAATTAGTAAAAACCAAAAAATTTAAATTGATTAATATTTATGGAAACAAAGCGTCCCGGTTAGATTAGGTATTTTAATGTGTTCAATTTATGTTTGCTACTAGAAATATTATTCCAATCGAAAAATTTTAAGAGATCTATTTTGATTTTTTTAACACATAACCACTCTTTCAAAACTCGTTTTTTGATATCTATGGTAGAGTATTCTTCCAAAACCAAAAAAGACGAAATGTAAGATTTTTTTTAACTTACAGCAGACCGATTTTATTAATTTAAATTTATAAGTTTACCATTTTCTACCAAAAATATTACTCAAATAGAAAAACATTAAGAGATCTTTTTTGGTGAAATTTTAATCTAGTTGGTGAAAAAGAAAGTCATTTTTTGATTTTCTTTGTAGTTTTATTAATAATTGAGCAAAACCGTATGCAGAAAGTATGGACAAATATACGAAAATAATTCTTTTATTATTTTAAATTTTGTTTTTTTAATGTATTTCAGTTTAAAATATTTGTAGAGACTTGAAATTTTGACAAAAAACTTATATTTACTTTTTCTAGACGCGGTAAAACTTTCAGAACATTTGAGTAATTTTTAAGCTATTTATAGACATTTTAATTTGATTTACCACAGGGGCTCATGTAACCTCATTTTTGGTTACACTTTTAGATTCTGAGGGGGGTAAGGAATACATTGGTTTTACAATGATGTTACGTTTTTTGTTTTTTTTATTCTGTGGATAACTTTTCAACATTTTATTCCGATTTACAATAGCACTTTTTCTGAAAGGAAATCTGACTGGGGTGGTACTTTAAAGAGGTCATTTTTTTGACTTTCTCAGCTGTTTTCATAATAAATGGAAAAACCAGGAAAATAGGTACAATATTAAACAAATATTATTAAAGAAAATATATTATAACACATATGTAATTATTTTATCTTAATGACATATTATATATTGTAAACAAAGCAACATTATTAACTAAACTCCGCTCAGAATCGTTTTTTTTCATATAATTACATTAAATTTCCTTTCCACCTTCCCAACTTCTCACCTATAACAGTGGCTCACCCACGGGTGAAGTATGACCGTCTTTTTTTGAGATTTAGTTAAAAATATTCGTAAAGATGTAAAATTTGGACAACTTTGCCTTTACTAGACGTTGTAAAATTTTCAAAACATTTGAGCCATTTTTGAGTTATTCATAGGTGTTTAAATTTTAAGTTTTTTACATCACTTTTATTTGGTAGGTACTTTATAGGTAAATAAAATTATTTAACCAAACAGAAATGCTTGAAAATTTAGCAGCAGGTTCATTATAAGTCGTACTTTGTAGTCAAAAAAAAAAATTAAAGGTTATGTAGATTTTTTTTATGACAATTTTAATACCAAATTTTGACAAAAATTGTAATTATTCCGGCTTTTAAAATATGTATAATCAATCTCTGCTCAGAATTGTTTTTCGAAAGCTATCTTGCATACAGGTAAACATTAAGTTCCCCTCTATATCTTATTTTCCAAATTTCTCACCTACAACAGTGACCCACCCATCATTCGAAATATGTTTTTTTTTAAATATTTAAAAATATTTTTTTATTTTAAATATAAATCATTAAGTATGTCATGATAAGAAATATTATATTTTTACTAAAATAATATAATAAAATAATTAATTAATTTTAAATTTACCTAATTGGAATGCTTGGTGAATTTTGTAAATTTACTCTGCAGATTGGACAACTACTCGGTATATTTATGCAGTAAATGTTCCTATGATTGCAGTGTTGAAAACAAATTATACCAGTATCATTATTCATAACAGTTGATACATTGGCAACATCTATAAAAGAAAAGTTTAATGCAAGCTTTAAAAACACTTTTATTGTAACTCATTGATGTGCCAGTTATATAACAGATTATAGTGGTTTTAAAATGGCTAGTCAATAAGCACTCCTGGGCACTTTGATGAATATATTGGCATTAATTTTTCAATGAGCTACCTCGGCTGTTGAGTTCATCCTTTTCGATGCCAATTAGCATAATTAAAAGAGTATTTACACTTTCTATCCCATTCAAATTTGGTATCATGACAATGTTTTTTATTTAAAAGATAAACTAGGTCACTCAAATTTTTAAAAAATCTTACATAGTAGTTAATTAGTTCCAAAAAAGCTCTTACTTCAGACTGATTACTAGTAAAGTACCTTATATTATGAAATTAACATTTATATGATATTAATATCATATACTTTATTACTAGTACTATATACTTAGTATTACTACTTTTGCCTTAGATGTTTGTTTACCTTCTTTATCTATAAGATTACAACATACCCACAGTATTTGATTTGATCCTGAAGGAAAACATTTGTTTACTATTAATCATTATATTTTATTCTTCTAATCTTTTTAAACCCAATTATAGTCTTTCTATTCAGATATTCCATTTGACTAGTACCTGTAATGTTAATGTCATCTAGAAATACTATTACTCTGGGGATACCTACTAACATTTTATCAATTTCTCATTGCAATATGGTACGTGTAGATGCTATATCAATCATTAATCTAATACACTCCTATACAAATTTATATTTATTGAGAGTTAATAGGTAAGCCTGCATTAGGTAAATTTTTGTAAATTTCTCCTCATCCACCACATTTGAAAATGGTCCATTAATAGTTGGTAATGAATGATTCCATCTAACAAAAATGTATTAATAATAGTTTTAAAATCCCTACAGAACCTTATCTTACCATTTGTTTTTACAATTTGAACAACATGCAAAGCCCAGTTAAATTAATTTATTAAGTACATCTTAATTTAGAAAGTTTTCAATTTCCTCCTGTACTTTGGCCCTAAGTGTAAAAGGTTAAGCTTTAACAAATATAAAATTGACATCTGAATTAATTGCAAGTCTTATTCATAAATATCTTCTTCTAAAACTAAACTTATTTTATGTATTTCATTAACTGATGAATATATCAATCATTTATTTACCTCAATATTAATATTTCTAAATAATTCAGGCTAATCTTATTAACCTAAAAACCAGCATTATTTTCAATCACGAGTTACAAATTTAACTTCCATAATTTTCAATAAAGCAGAAAACAATTTATTAAATAAAAGTAATAAATTCAATACATATCAAACATTAAACATCAATTAAAAAACAATACAATGTAAATCTGTTATAAATTATATACAATTTCAAAATCAAAATCAAACAAGGTATAACTTAATAAACAGCACCACAAAAAAACTACAAAAATAAGCCTGATAAAATATTAAAACTAAATAGAATAGTTAA